GGAGCTGACCAAGAACCTGCTGAAGGAGCGGAACGAAGTACGGCCGGGACCGAGCAGCGACACCAGAGTCAGCAGGAACACTCGCCCCAGGGTCCGCAGCAGCAGGGACAGCTCCACCACCCGGGTCCTCAGCACCAGCGGCAGCTCCAACGCCCGGGTCTGCAGCTCGAGCGGCAGCTCCAACGCCCGGGTCCGCAGCACCAGCGGTAGCTCCAACGCCCGGGTCCGCAGCACCAGCGGCAGCTCCAACGCCCGGGTCCTCACCACCAGCAACAGCTCCAACACCCGGGCTGTCAGCACCAGCAGCAGCTCCAACGCCCGGGTCCGCAGCACCAGCGGCAGCTCCAACGCCCGGGTCCTCAGCACCAGCAACAGCTCCAACACCCGGGCTGTCAGCACCAGCAGCAGCTCCAACGCCCGGGTCTGCAGCACCAGCAGCAGCTCCAACGCCCGGATCCTCAGTACCAACAGCAGCTCCAACGCAAGTGGGGTCCGCAACACGAGGCACGCCACTCCGAAGAGTGCAGCGCCGCTCGTACCACTCACGGATCCGCTCGCGGGAGGGGAGCTCCCAAACGGGAGAAGAAGCACTAGTACCAGTCCCAGCAGTACGTCCGGCCCGAGTGGAACCTCTCCGGAGGCTGCAGTACTCTAAGTACCACGTACGCAGCTGCTCCGAGGAGAGGGCTCCTCCAGGAGTAGGACTCACAGGGCCAGTACCACCAGACCCAGAACCCCCAGACTCCGGACTCTGCGGCTCAGCACCAAGAGGCTCCACACCCCCACGCTCCACACCCCTAGGCTCAGCACCCCCAGGCTCCACACCCCCAGGCTCCACACCCCCAGGCTCCACACCCCCAGGCTCCACACCCTCAGGCTCCACACCCCCAGGCTCAGCACCCCCAGCAGGACGAGAGTCGACAGCTACCTCAACAGGCTCAACCGGGTCTACCTGAGACACACCTGAGGGAGCGGCACCCTGAGGGGGGAGGGGGTCTGCAACAGCAGCACCTGGCGCGAGGAAGAGAGGCGGGGGGGGAAGCGGGGCAGTGCGGTAGGGGAAGAGGCGGTAGTAGGGGACGGACTCGTCAAAAGTGACGTCCTGGGAGGGCAAGACTCGGCGCGAGGTGGCGTGGTAAAACTGCCAACCAGACGCGTCCGGGACAAAGCCGAGGAAGACGCAGGGAACAGCACGGGAGGAGAGCTTGTCCGCATACGTATCGCGGACAAAAGCTCGAGACCCCCAGACCCGGAAACGCGACGCATCGCCAACCTCCCCCGTCCACAGCAGCGTGGGTGAGGTCTCCGGCAAGGAGACACGGGGCCAGAGGTTGAGCTGGTGCGCAGCGTACCGGACCGCAAACGGCCACAGAAAGTGGGGGGCAGCCGCATGGATCAAGGAGGCACGGGCGACCTCCATGACCAGGCCAATGCGGCGCTCCGCAACCCCATTCTGCTGTGGAGAGGCCGGAAGCGTGAACGACTGCTCAATGCCGTGCTCAGCACAGAAGGCTGCCAAGAGGTCGGAGGAGAACTCACCACCTCTGTCAGAGTGCAAGCGCAGGACAGGAAAGTCCGAGCGGAAACGCTCGCTGAGCTGGAGACGGGCTCTGCGGATCCAAGGGATCAAGACATCAGGGACCTCACCCTTGGTGCGCAAGGGGAAGACCGTGGTGTAGCGCGAGTAGTCGTCAACAACTATCAGGAAGTACCTCTCCTGACCCTGACCACGGACGCGGGCTGGGCCCCACACGTCCATGTGGAGCGTCTGCAAAGGAGCAGTAGTCGGGGGAAACGAGGAGGAGTGAGGAGCGGCGCGCTGCCGCCCCTCGACACAGGGAAGGCAGGGAGGAGCAGGCGAGGGTGGGAGGGGAGGGAGGACCCTGGGAAGACCAGAGACAAGGTACCGGGAGTGCATGGCACGAAGGCGCTGCACAGACGGGTGGCCAAGTCGGTGGTGCCAGAGGACAGTGTCGTGCGCTAGAGAGCGACACGAGTAGGGGGCAGACAGCTGACCTGACGCGGACGCGAACGCAGACGCAGACGCAGCGACCTGAGGGGAGGCAGTAGTCAGTGTGTACAGGTCCGACCCCGGCTGCCGGGTGAAGGTAGCCAAGTGACGGCCCGTACGAGCACACGTGCAGTGGGTCACACGCTCGTAGGCAGGGGTGAACTGGTGAACACCCCCGTCATGGAGAGCACATCCTGCCACCAAGTTCGTAAAGAACGAGGGGAGGTGGAGACCTGACAGTGTGCCCGACAGGACCGCAGGGCAGGGAAGGACAGTGGAGGAGGTCGCAATGACCGGGCCCCCAGAGGGGTCAGCAAGTGAGACAGCAACTGGCCGAGCAAGCGGCTCAAGGGCAGTGCGGTCACGAAAGAAGCAGCGAGAAGCACCTAAGTCCAGTGTGAAGGTGTGCAGTGCGGCAGTCGACACAGTACCAGGGGGGGGGGACACACGCGCACCTAGAGTAGCAGCCTCACCAGCACCTGGGGTAGCCGACACGCGAGTACCTGGAGCTGCAGACGCACTGGCCCTAATGCCCGGGTCGGGCGGCACACACAAGTACTCGGCACCCTCTCCACTAGTAGACATCACATACATTGGAGATAGAATAGCATCAAAGTCTAAAGCATAGATATCAATCCCCTTCTTCAGGAGATCAAGCCAGCGGGGCAGCTCAGTGGCTTGAGGGAACTGAACACGCCAAGCGTCGTCGAGACGAGAGAAACAGCGCTGTGTGGCGTGCGGTCGTCCACACTGCTGACCAGTGCGGTCACCAGTGCGAATGACGTACGTGCAGCCAAGACCACCCCCACCCCCGTGCTGAGAGTACCACTCACGGACCTCCTGGGGCGAGGGAATGTGCTGCTGGCGCTGGCCACCGCCAGTGCCTCCACGGCCACCACCACCGCTGCCACCCCCTCGACCACCCCAACCCCTGCCGCCGCCTCGTCCACTGCCACCCCAGCCGCCGCCTCCACTCCTACCACCTCCCTCGCCGCCGCCGCCACCACCCCCACCGCTACCACTCGCCCCTCCAGCCGAGCCACCACCCCCACTGCCTCCACCGCTCCCACCGCCGCCTCCCCCACCGTCACCGCTACCACCCTTGCCCCCCTTGCTTTTGCCGCTGCGGCGCCCGCTCGAGGCAGACGCAGCGCCGACCTTCTCAGCACCAAGAAGGTCGACAGCAGCAGCAGAGGCGACAGAGGGAAGAAGGGGGGAAGGAGAACACCCCTCAAAGAACGGGGTACGGGGGTCGCCACGAGAGGCACCTACAGCGACTATGCTAGTCTCAGCTGCAAGGAGCTCCTTCTCGAGGAGGGCAATGGTGAGCTCAGTGGGGCAACGAGCTAGGAAGTGGTCCCTGACAGCACGCAGTGTGTCAGGGAGGCGGGTGACTAGGTGGTAGAGAGTGAGCCAGAGTGGAGGGGGGTGCGTGGTAAGGAACTCAGCAGGCATGGCGGCACGGAAGCGGGCCTCACTAGTGCGGAGGTGCGTGATGAGGTCAGCGACTGTGTGAAAAGAGGCCAGGTCGGGAAACAGGTAGGGGAGGGAGAGACGGCCTAGTGCGGCAGAGGCAGGTGAGGAGTAGCGAGCAACTACAGCTGTGTACAGTGCCTGTGCAGTCTTGTGCTGGCCAAAGTGCTCGCGTTCGTCTATCGGCAGGGAGTTGCGAATGGCGAAGCGAGCGTGGGCATCACGAGTCAGCCAGTGTGAACGAGCCGTGCTGTCAGCAGTAGCAGCAGGGGCAGTGACATTGCCTAGGGCGTGATCGTACAGTGAGATGTCATCCTTGGCTGTGAGCTGTAGGTAGAGGTGCAGGTCATCGAGCCGGGTGTCAAACTTCACAGGGCGGCCCTCAGCATCGAACACAAGAACCTGTGGGCTAGCCATAGGAACAGTAGACCAGTAGCAGTAGCAGTAGCAGCAGCAGTAGCAGTAGCAGTATTAGAAGTAGGTAGGACGAACCGGATAGGGCAGGGCGACGCGGCTCGGCTGGGTGGCGCGGCTCGGCTTAGGTAGGGCGGCGCGGCTCGGCGAGGGCGGCGCGGCTCGGCGAGGGCGGCTCGGTCTGGGTCGCGCGGCTCGGCTCGGGTCGCGCAGTTCGCCCGGGTCGCGCTGTGAGAGGCTAGCGCGGGGCCGACGTGGGGGGCCTGAAGGGGCTAGCGCGGGGCCTGAAGGGGCCGTAAGAGGGCTAGCACGGGGCCGTTCGGGGGCCGTGAGAGGCTAGCGCGGGGCCGTACGGGGCCGTGCGGGGCTAGCGCGGGGCCGTGAGGGGGCCGTGAGAGGCTGGCACGGGTCCGACGGGGGGCTTACGAGGCTAGCGCTGGGCCTGAGGGGGGCCGTGATAGGCTAGCGCGGGGCCGCACGGGGCCGTTCGGGGCTAGCGCGGGGCCTGAGGGGGCCGTGAGAGGCTATCGCGGGGCCGCACGGGGCCGTTCGGGGCTAGCGCGGGGCCGTTCGGGGGCCGTGAGAGGCTAGCGCGGGGCCGACGGGGGGCCTTAAGGGGCTAGCGCAAGGCCTTAAGGGGTCGTGAGAGGCTAGCGCGGGTCTTAAGGGGCTAGCGTGGGGCCGACGGGGCCTCTAGGGAGGTAAGCGCGGGGCCGTGAGGGGCTTAAGGGGCTAGCGCAAGGGCCTCAGGGGGCCTTAAGAACGAGGCGCTCGAGGCGCAGGTAGTTAGGTAGGTAGTGGTGGTGGGCCCTAAAAAAAAAAAAATTCGGTCCTAGTGAAGGACCTGCTCTGAAACCATCTCAGAAGTACGAAACTGGAATGAATGACTAGAATGGCAGTTGGGTACAAATAGGTCAAAACCTAACCCTAGAATTGTGTACCCTCTATAGGCTAACCCACTGTAGCCTTAACTAACACAACATATATAATGTTTGACAGACATAACGGGAAGGATGTACAGTGTGGGAGGGAGAGGAATGGAAGGGGGACTAGAAAGAAGTGGATGAGTGATTGGAAGGGGAAGTGAACGGTTGCGCAAGGGTCAGGAAAATGAGAGGCAGGCGCAAAAGCAGGAGAACGGAAGGGAAGAAGTAAGGGAAACTAGGGGGGAGGAAAGAGAGGGTGGTAAACTAAAGAAAGAAGAAGGGATGGGCCGGGAAGTGAAGGAAGGGAGGTTGAGGAGAAGGATGGGCCGAGAAGTGAAGGAAGGGAGGTTGAGGAGAAGGGATGCAAGAGTGAGGGGAAGGGATGCAAGGATGAGGGGAAGGGATGCAACCATAAGGGGGGGGGAATGGGAGCGTGAGGAGAGGGCATGGAAGGGAGTTGGAAAGAGAATGGAAGCGAGCAGGGGAGGGAATGGCATCGAGCGGGCGAGCGAACGGAAGTGTGTGGGGGTGGGAAGGGAAAGGAAAGGAAGGAGACAAATGGAAGGAAAGGGCACCCGAAGCAAGGGGAGGGACTGGAACGGAGAGGATGGGAAGGGATTGTTCTTTGGGAAGCAGGGGATGGGACGGGAAAGGATAGGAAGGGGGGTAGATAGATAGGGAAGGTATGGGAAGGGATGGGAAAGGAAGGGAAGGGAAGGGATAGGAAGGGGAGGGAAGGGAAGGGAAGGGAAAAGCGGGAAGGGAAGGAAATGGTAGGGAAGGAAGGGATGGGAGTGGAGGAAATCATTGATAGGGGATTGGAAGGGGAGGTAGGGAAAACTAGGGGAGAGGAAAGAGAGGGTGGTAAACTGAAGGAAGGTGAAGGGATGGGTAGGGAAGGGACGAAAGGGAAGGGAAGGAAGGGAAGGGATGCAAGCATGAGGGGGAGTGAAAGGTGTGAAGGAGAGCATGGAAGCGGGCGGGAAAGGGAATATGTGCAAGCGGAGGAGGGAACGGAAGTGTGCGGGGGAGGGAATGGAAACGAGCGGGGGAGTGATTGGAAGCGTGAGGGGGAGGGAAATAGAAGCGTGTTTGCGAGAGAATGGAAGCTTGAGGGGGAGGGAACGGAAGTGTGAAAGGGAGGGAATGGGAGAGTGAGAGGGGAAGGTGGGGGGGAGGGGGGGGGGGCGGGAAATGGGAGCGTGCAAGGGAGGGAATGCAAGCGAGAAGGAAAGCGTGCAGAGGAGGGATTGGAAGTGTGAGGGGGAGGGAATGGAAGTGAAAGAGGTACAGTGTGGAAGCGTGAGGGGGAGGGAATGGAAGCGTGAGGGGGAAGGAATTGAAGCGTGAGAGGGAAGGAATGGGCAGGCGTGAGGGGGAGGGACTGGACGCGTGAGGGGGAGGGACTGGACGCGTGAGGGGGAGGAACTGGACGCGTGAGGGGGAGGGACTGGACGCGTGAAGGTGAGGGACTCGGCACGTGAGGGGGAGAAACTGGGCACGTGAGGGGGAGGGACTGGGCACATGAGGGGGAGGGACTGGGCGCGTGAGGGGGAGGGACTGGACGTGTGAGGGGGAGGGACTGGAAGCGCGAGGGGGAGGGACTGGACGCGTGAGGGGGAGGGACTGGACGCGTGAGGGGAGGGACTGGACGCGTGAGGGGGAGGGACTGGACGCGTGAGGGGGAACGAATGGAAGCGTGAGCGTGTGGGAATGGAAGCGTGAGAGGGAGAGAATGGAAGCGTGAGGGGGAGGGAATGGTAGCGTGAGGGGAGGCGGGAGAAATGGAGGCGTGACGCGCGGGGATTGGAAGCGTGGTGGGAACAAAGGGGAATTGTGGTACGGCGACCTCGTGTGACCTGAAGCAAGGGAAGGGAAAGGAAGGGAAGGAGACGTAGTGAAGGTAAGGGCACCCGAAGCAAGGGAAGGGACTGGAACGGAGAGGATGGGATGGTAATGGCAGGGTAAGCAGGGGATAGGATGGGAAGGGATAGGATTGGAAGGGAAGGGAGGGGGTGGGAAAGGAAAGGAAGGGAAGGGATATGAAGGGAATGGAAGGGAAGTGAAGGGAAAAGCGGGAAGGGAAGGAAATGGGTTCAGGGTTGGAAGGGATGGGAGAAATAATGAAGACTTTGAAAAGGGAACGGAAGGGGAGGGAGGGTTATCGTGAGGGGGATGGAATGGAAGCGTGAGGGGAGGCGGGAGAAATGGAGGCGTGACGCGCCGGGAATAGAAGCGTGGCGGGAACAAAGGAGAATTGTGGCACGTTGAACTCGCGTGACCCGAAGCAAGGGAAGGGAAAGGAAGAGAAGGAGACGTAGTGAAGGTAGGGGCACCCGAAGCAAGGGAAGGGACTAGAACGGAGAGATGGGAAGGGAATGGCTGGGTAAGCAGGGGATTGGACGGGAAGGGATAGGACTGGAAGGGTAGGGAGGGAGTGGGAAAGGAAGGGAAGGGAAGGGATATGAAGAAAAGGGAAGGGAAGGGAAGGAAATGGGTTTTGGGTTGGAAGGGATGGGAGAAATGATGAAATCATTGATAAGGGAATGGAAGGGGAAGGAGGGTTATCGTGAGGGGGATGGAATGGAAGCGTGAGAGGAGGCGGGAGAAATGAAAGCGTGCAGAGGAGGGAATGGAAGCGTGAGGGGGAGGGAATGGAAGCGTGAGGGGTAAAAAATTGAAGTGTGAGGGGGAAGGTATGGGGAGGCGTGAGGGGGAGGGACTGGACGCGTGAGGGGGAAGGAATGGAAGCGTGAGCATCTAGGAATGGAAGAGCAAGGGGGAGAAAATGGAAGCGTGAGGGGGAGGGAATGGTAGCGTGAGGGGGAGGGAATGGTAGCGTGAGGGGGAGGGAAAGGTAGCATGAGGGGGAGAGAATGGTAGCCGAAGGGGAGGCGGGAGAAATGGAGGCATGGAGCGCAGGGAATGGAAGCGTTGCGGGAACAAAGGGGAATTGTGGCGCGGCGAGCGCATACCCTAATTACGAACATCGGGTCGGGGCAACGCAGAGGTAAGAAGTGGGCACCCCACTACCACAAACTTTCTGACGTGCCCGCTGGTGTGCTCCTATGCATTAATGTTGTGTCTGAACTATACTCTATGCTGTAGTGGGGCACTCCTTATGGGGTACAGCCCTGTTAGGTTTTGCCTATACAAACCTTTTACTGTTCTCATTATAGTCATTCCTCATTCTAGCTTCAACATGGTTTCAGAGCAGGTTCCCTAGTGGGAACGTTTTTTTCTGCCCTGCCCGAAGCGCACTGCCGTGCCTGCCTGCCCCGTCACGTGCCTTGCGCCTGCCTACCAGCACCCTCGAGCGCCTACCCTACATGCGCCCTCGAGCGCCTGCCCTACCCGCGCCCTCGAGCGCCTGCCCTGCCCGCGCCCTCGAGCGCCTGCCCGTCGCCCTGCCCTGCAGGCCGCGCGCGGGCCTGCCCTGCAGGCCGTGCGCGGGCCTGCCCTGCACCCGCGAAGCCGCCCCTGGACCCCGAGGCGCTGCCCCTGGACCCCGCGACGCCGCCCCTAGATCCCGCGGCCCTGGACCTCGCGGCGCTGGACCCCGCTGCCCCTGGACCCCGCAGCGCTGGACTCCGCTGCCCCTGGACCCCGCTGCCTCTAGACCCCGCGGCGCTGCCCCTGGACCCCGCGACGCTGCCCCTGGACCCTGCAACGCCGCCCCTAGACCCCGCGACGCCCCTACGGGACCCGGGCGTCGCCCCTGCTTGTCGCGACGCCCCTGCGGGACCCGCGCGGCGCCGCTCCTGCTCGTCGCGACGCCCCTGCCGGACCCGTGCGACGTCGCCCCTGCTCGTCACGGCGCCCCCCCCCCCCCACCCCTTGGCCGCCGCGCCCTGCCTCATCTGCGGCCCGCCCGCGCCCTGCCTTACCCCGCGCCCGCCCTTGGGGCGGCCGCCCCTACACGGCCCTGCCGCCGTCGCGTCTGCAGCCGCCGTCGCAGCCTCGTCGTAGCCGCTGTCGCGGCCCTGCCCCGCCGTTGCAGCCGTCGCGGCCTTGCCCGGCCGTAGCTGCCGTCGTGCCTGCAGCCACCATCGCAGCCCCGTCATAGCCGCCATCGCGGCCCCACTGCAGCCGCCCGTCGAGCGCCTGCAACCACCCCTCGAGCACCGGACCTGCCCTACCCATGCCCGTTGAGCGCCTGCCCACCGCCGCCGGTGGCATCTGCCCTACCCGCCTCTGGTGAGCACCTGCCCTACCCGCACTGCCCGCGCGCCTGCCTTACCAGCGCACTACCGCGCGTGCTGCGCTCTACCCTACTCAGCCGCGCTGCTCTGCCCTGCTGCTACTGCTGTTCCAACTGTCACTGCTACTAGTGCTGCACCGCCACTCCTACTGCTACTGGCGGTGGCCAGATGCAGCTCCAGCGACGTCCGCGTGAGTCCCTCACGCCCCAGCAGCTTTGTGAGTGGTACGCTAGTTGGGGTTGTAGGGGTGGCCGTGGTGGGAGTCGCCCTGGAGCGGGTCGTTCGGGAGCTTCTTGTAGTGGCCAGGTGCAGCTGCAGCGGCGTCTGCGTGAGATCATTTCGCCCCAGCAGCTTCGTGAGTGGTACGCTTAGAGTAGAGGGTCACGGAGTACTGCTCGCTGCCCGTACGTCATTCGCACAGGTGCTCGGGCTGGTCAGCCTTACGGGACGGTTGGTCACACAGAGTCCCGCTGCTTCTCCTGACTGAGCGACGCCTGGCGTACAAAGTTTGGCGACGACGCTGAGCTCCCCTCCTGGCTGGAGCTGCTTAGGCAGAGGGTAGATATCTTTGCTCTTGACTATGATGCTATCCTCACTGCCATGTATGCACTGCCTACTAGTGCTGAGGGTGCCTGTTACCTGTGTGTGCCGCCTAACCCAGGTATAGAGTCTGCTGCTCTAGGTGCTGGTGCGTCTCCTGCTCCAGGTGCTGGTGAGGCTGCTGCTCTAGGCACTAGTGAGTCCACTGCTCCAGGTGCTGGTGAGTCTGCTTTCTCTAGTTCTGCGCTTGCTGCGGCCTTGCACACCTTCACGTTTGACTGAGGAGCTTCCCGCTCCTTCTTTCGCAACTGCACCACACCCACGCCGCTCAGTCGGCCGGTTGCAGTCTCCCTGGCTGACCCCTCTGGGGGTCCATTCCTTGTGCACTCCTCTACGTGTCCGGCGGTCCCATCTGGCTCACTATCGGGTCTTCACCTCCCCTCGTTCTCTACGAACTTGGTGAGTGGAGCTGACCTTCAGGACGTCTGGGTTGACCAGTTCACTCCTATATTTTTTCACTCCTGTACAATTGAAAAACAATTGTACATTTTCCTCTTATATAGCGTAAGAAGAAACATTTCGCGTCGCACCACATACCGCGTATAGAGCACCGATTCATGCCAGCACCCCAACATTATCCCGTTACCACCCAGCGACGTTCGCCTCGACCGCTATTCATGCTAATCATGACCATCGCGCCCAGACCACCGAGCTCGGCTGGTTACCCGCGACCCAGTCTGACGCCTGAGTGTGTAGTACAATGTGAAACAATGTGTAGCATTCCGCCTTCGCCACCTGTCTCTTGCGTATTCGCCTATCTTCAACCTTCGCCCAACACCTGTCAAGTTCAGTAATTTTAAAGCCTTGTCATTCTTGGCGCAGGCTTTAAGATTCTTCATTTCCTAAGCTTGGAAAACTACTTAGGGCGCGTGTCTTTTGGAGTGTATTTGTAAGTTCATATTTTTTGTTCAACTTTCTCCAGTTGAACTTTGGTCGTCTTGTGGTCGGCCATCTCGACTTTTGGTGGTCGGGGAGAAGCGCCAACCAAACCACTATCACCCGCAAGACTCCAACTATACCAGCAGCAACTGGGTTGCCTGCTGTTCGCCTCTGTCACCTGCCGACCCGACCTTTCGTACATCGCTAGCCAACTGGCGCAGTATTCCCGCAAGTCAGTAGCTGAGAACCAGCTGGACCTGGAGCGCGCTCTGCAGTACTTCATCTCCACACCTGAAATTGGGCTCTCCTTCTCCACGCTGACGACGACCTCCTTCAACCTCAACGGCTATGTGGACGCAGATTATGCAGCTGACCCAGCAAATCGACGGTCCCGAACCGGCTTCGATTTTCGCTTGGAACCAACTAGGCCAATCTCCTGGAACTCACAGAAGCAGGAGTTGGTTGCCCAATCATCGGCTGAAGCAGAATACATCGCCGCGATAGCAGCAGTTCGCGAAGGCTTGTACATGCAAGAGCTGCTACAAGAGGCAAAGATTCCGACCTTGCCCACCTATCGCCTTCACTGCGACAACCAGAGTGCCATCAGGATCGCAAACAAGCCAGGTTTCGTGAACCGCACTGTGAGAGTACGACGGCTTATGCCAGCAATGCTTGCTTGCCTTTACTTTATGAGGCTATTGTTAACAGGAATGGAGTGTTGGCCCCGCCCTCGCTTGGGCAACACCGACGACTTGGTCGGATGCACGGGAGTAGCAGCCGACCGTTCACAGTGGGATAGCTGCTCGACAGGTTACGTCGAGCTGCAGCGGACCGCTGTGGTGTTGCTTTCGACCAAGGAGCTCGACAGCTGCAACTGACTGGTTTGTGCGACGGGTGGGCCGTCCGGGAGGTCGATGAAGCAGTCTATCGACCTACAGTTTGACGGGGAGGTCTACGGAGCATCCCGTTGAACTGCAACTCGACCGGGAGGACTGGGGAGCATCTTGTCGACCTACAGTTCGACTGGGAGGTCGACAGAGCAGTTTTGGTTGACGGAAGGGCTCCGTCGACCAGAGGGTAGCTCGACGGGAGTTGTGGTCAACCAGGAGCGCCTGGTGGTCGACCAGAGGGATCCAGTGGTCGACCGGAGGCACCTGGGGGTCGACCAGAGCACCAGGGGTCGACCAAGTCGACCGGGTAACCTGCTCGACGAGTTCTGCGAAGGCTCGCGAACGTCGTCGAGGTCGCGATGGCGCAGGCGACTTCGTACTGGTATCCCGAAGTCGATGTGGCTCGTCAGGCGCAGACAACAGCCGACGGATGCCCAACGAGGCAAGTCGGGCCAATCGTCTGCGCACACCTGCGAGCGCGCGAACTGCTGTGTTCTACGGGGCACGCCGTCGACCTGCTTTGTTGGCAGGTCGCCCTTCTGCAGTGCTGGCGCGGCTCCTCTACGCAATGCTGGCAGGCGGTCGACCGAGCTGCGCTGGCGGTCGACCAGGCTAGCTGCAGGGTTGCTAGGTGCCTGATGTAGTCATTGTTGTTATTGCTTCTTGTACTATTCTGGAATTCTGAACTTTGCTAGTGGAAACTCTTGCCAATTTCTCCCGTAAATGTGCAAGCACTAAGAAACCAAGCAAAGCTACGATCACCTCTAGTAGTTCGTGCCAACCCTGTAGTCCATTTCACTACCGCTGTAGAGTGTATCTCCGCATCTATTTCTAGCATAGGATAATTATATGCATACATGAATTGCTTGATTTCCTAGGCTAGGTGCTTTCCTATATTTTATTCTAGTTATAGCATCGAGCTAGGTTGAGTGCACCGAATTCTGGCTTTTTTTTTGCCACCGAAT